AATATATATAAAATTCTAGAAGAAAAAAAACTTTACAGATTAACATATTATGTCTCACCGTTGTTATTAAACCTTAATTTAAAAGAATATATGTAATCAATTAAAACGATTAGATCCAATGTTAGTTTTCTTAAATAATAAATAGAAATCCCTTCTATTGTGAAATGGAATCGTTGCCCATTTTATTACATAGAACCAAGACACATATAATGACCAACATATATACACAAGAACAATTACATATTAAGAGCCAATGCATGACCATTAAACCTTATACTAAAATTAAATAAGCTCTTTATTAAAAAAAATTACAAAATATAAAAAAATTCAAATTCCAAAAGAAAATCACCAATTTATATTTGTGCATATAATTATTAAAAATATATGACAGAAAATAGCTACTTTGAGACATTGGAGTTTGAATAAAATTTTCCAAAACATCTATTTTAATAAATATATCTATATATATATATATATATATACACACTAAGTGCATATAGGCATTTTGAATTTTTTCTTATGAAAAGTTTTGAGAATTTAATAAAAAATTGAAAATACATATTTTTAATAAAAAAATTTATCTTAAAAATACATATAGATATTTTGAATATAGTTATTTTGAATTTTTTTTTATTAAAAATACTTATTTTGAGAAATAATTAGTGATAAAAAATGGAAAATTACATGTTAGTGATGTTTCAAAAAATAAATTACAAATTCATGAAAAAGTTCATAAGTTTACATTTTAATGTTTATAAAGTCTTCCATTAATTTGAAAATATATTTTTTTAAATATACACTGATGTGTAATTTTTTTTTAATAAAAAAAGATAAAAAAATAAAAAGAAGGTGAATTGGAGAGTTGGCAGTATTAGAACTATGGAGAAGATGAGAGACGCATTTTCATCATTTCGTTCTAAAACTTAACAGCATCTACGGACTAAGGTCAAGTTTAGCATATTTGAAAAAAGATAAAAAGTCAAAAAGTTACTATTCTATTTAAGTCACATCACCTCTCTAACACATCACTTTAAACCCAACCCAAACCCAACCCATATTTCATAAAAAGTTAAAAAGTGCACTTATTTAGATCATCCCAAACAACACATAAGAAATTTTTTTTGAAAATGTCGAAAAAAATAGGGGGAAATTATTTATAAGTCCTATTTGGAAGACTTATTTAATGTGAAGTTTTATGAATCTTCTTTTAGAGTTTTAAGTCATATTTAAATAGGAATGTATTCCATAAGATCTTATGAATTGTAAATGAATGATATTTGTGTACTATTATATCTCTAATTTGTTTCTAATGTCACGTTAGATTTGGAAATGTCACATTGAGTTTGGGATGTTACATATTATATTTACGTATTGAATTTCAAATTTCTAACTATATAGATATGATCACAATTTATGACAATATTGGATTTTTCATATATGATATTTCCATTAATTAAGTTATTTTGAATTTCAGAATCATATGGCAATGCTATGTTGATTTGGAAATGTCACATTGAGTTTGATATGTTACATGTTACATTTAGGTTTTGAATTTCAAATTTTCAACCATATAGATATGATCACACTCTATAATAATATTGGATTTCCCATATATAGTATTGCCATTAAGTAGTCCATGTATAGTATTACCATTAATTAGGTTGTTTTGAATTTCAAATTTATACCATATAGATTTGATTACAATCTATGGTAATAGTGGATTTATCATATATTCAACTATATAGATATGATCACAATCTATGATAACATTGAATTTCCTATATATAATATTGCCATTAATTAGTCCATATATAGTATTGCCATTAATTAGATTATTTTGAATTTCAAATTTCTAACCATATAGATATTATTACAATCTATGGTAATATTGGATTTCCCATATATGGCACTGCCATTAATTAGGTTGTTTTGAATTTCAAATTTTTAACAATGTAGATATGATCACAATATATCGTAACATTGAATTTTCCATATATGATATTATCATTAATCAAGTTATTAATTAATTAAGATTGTGGGTAGATGTGTCCATAAGAAAATCACATGATCTATTGGCTTATAAGTTTTTTCATAGGACCATATTTTGTATAAGTCTTTCAAATAGGATTCATAAATAATTTATCCATGAATCTAAAAAAAATAAATAATTTATCCAAAAAGTAAAGGGGGTCGGTGTAAATTTAGAAACTATAGGGATGTCATTGCAATTATGCAAAATCTCAAGAGAGTTAAAGTGTAATTTTTGACAAAAAAAGGTGTAATTTATTCCATTTATAATATATATATATATATATATATATATAGAGAGAGAGAGAGAGAGAGAGAGAGAGAGAGAGAGAGAGAGAGAGAGAGAGGGCTAGTTTCCTGAATTCAGCAGTTGAAAGTGTTGAATGGCTAAACAAGCTAATTACCCAATTCAACCTTGGCACCAGGCGGGTTATGAGATTTAGGGGGCAAAGCGGATTTTGGAAATGTGACCTCCTCTTATATTGGAGAAAAAATAATTACAAATAAAACGATAAATTATAATAACTTTGGGTATGGTTTTTATCCATCCAGACTATGCTGTTGGATTTGTGGGAGTCCACCACGGATCCCGTTTTGATAATCTAGACCGTTGAATGTGTAGAAATCGTCGAGTACTATATGCCTGTAAAAAATTACGTTAATCGGATATCGATAGTTATATGATCAAATCAGTTCCATATTAAAAAAATTAGACGGTGAACAAATTAACGATTGACAAAAAACTGTTTTGATCACATAGTTATCGATATCCGATCAACGTGATTTTTTACAGACATATAGTACTCGACGATTTCTACACATTCAACGGTTCAAATTATCAAAACGGGACCCGTGGTGGGCCTCCATGAGCCCAATAGCACGGTCCAGTCCGATCCCGGACTAGACAGAAGCCATACCCAATAACTTTTTTATTTGTTTGTAGTTTGTATATATAATTATTAAAATTATAAATAAAAATTTACTTTCATATATTAAGATAAGAAGTAATTATTACAAATAGTCAAAAAATAAAATAAAAATCTAGTCTTGTTGCTTTATAGTTTAGTAATATGGAGTTTATAATTGAATCAACTATCACATAAATATTACTCTTCTCACACTTTTAACTGCAAAATTACTAATGAAACTTGCATAATCGAATTTATCTACCATATCTTTTTCAATGGCTAACAAAACTAACCCATTCAAACTAGTATTTGGACCTTTATATATATATATATCTAAAATACAAAATTATATTTGGGGCTTCTATTTTCAGCCCAAATTTGGAGCTCAAGGCAGGCGTTTCTTGCCTGCCCTCAGTGTCGGGTCTGCTTGGCACATAACTTTAAATACAAGCTTTGGGGCGCAAAGTATTTTCAGTGGTTTGAGCTAGGTTAATTTGGAAAGATAGTTAAAAACTAAATTTTAACTTTTAATTTATTTTGGGTTATATTGTCTCTCTACTTTTTTACAAGTTTTTTCAAAAAAAATCAAAAAATTAAAAAAATTAACTTTTAACTAACTTCTTAAATACAAATAGGGCTGAGTAAGAAATCCGTGAAATCTGTAATCCGATCCAGTCCAGTCCAATCCGATAGGTTTGGATTAATTTTTTGAATCCGTGATTCGGTTCCGGAGTGAAGAATTAAAAATCCGTAGTCCACGGATTGGTTCCAGATTAAACCCCACAGTTCCGGATTGGAACCGATCCGGACCGTATACAAATAGTCTATATTTTTATTATACATCCTCCCTTATAGGATCTTCTTTTATTCTATATAAAATCTAAACTCAAACTTAAAACCGTATAATATCTTCTTTTATTACTTTTGTTTGTTAGTTTTTAGTTTTAATTCATAATGGTCTAAATACTTATGGTGAAACTAGTTTTCTTATGATTGTTTAAATTCTAGAACAGTATGTCGCTATTATAAAAAAACATGTTGTTATTGTGAAACTAATATAGCGCTATATTTATATTTTTATAAAATTAAAGTGTTATATATATATATATATATATTTTTGTTATTTAATTATGTGAATCTGTGGTTCTAAACCGATCCAATCCATATTTAAATAAATTGGTTCGGATTGGTTCCATGATTTAAACGGATTAAATTGGTTCCAATTTTTCAAGAACCGTAGATAACGGATTGGTCCTAGTTTTATCCCAATTTGATCCAATCCAGACCATGCTCACCCCTAAATACAAATGTGAAAGAGAAAGCACAACCTCCCACACAAGCATACTAGAGTTTTGGTTTCTCTTCTAAGATCAAATATTAACACTACACGTTTAGATTTAAAATTTATGAAGGTAAAAAGAAAGAAAAAGAGAAAAAAATAATAAAGAGAACTCTGCCTAAATCCTTCTGTTATTATTAATTTACCCTTATTATTAAATTGAGCTGAAATTGTTGGTTTATTTGCTGAAATTGAGTATAAATTTAGCTGAAATTGTTTCATTATTTGATAAAATTGAGTTGATATTAACCCATAATGAAGTAATTACTTAGATGAGATTGAACTGAAATTAAAAATTTTGTGGGTTTTATTTAGGATAAAAATAATGTCTTACCTGTCTTTTGTCCAGAAGGTTTTATTTCACAAACTATTTGGCACAATGAAGTTTAATTTCAAATGTAGTTGACAGAAACAAAAATTTAGGCCAAGTTTGGCATATACAAAATAATCCATCTTTTTATCTTTTTTTATCACATCATCTTTCTACTTTTCTACACATCTTTTCGTAAAAAGATAAAAAGTGCACTTATTTAGGTCATCCCAGACAATCCCTTAGTAAGAGAATTAATTTCCATAATCCAAAAAATAGGAATGTATATTAAACACCATTTACTGTATAAGAATATTTACCCAATTACATGATCAGATTATAGCTAACTTGATGACTTCAATTTTCTTGCCTAAAATTGAGCCACGATCTGCAAACCGAGAGAGAGAGAGAGAGGTGGAAAAAGAAAAAATCAAATATCCGAAATGAAAATGGAAAAACTGAGGTAGGTACTTCTAAGTTTAGCTTTGTTGAAAGGAGGTAAACACCATTTAACAGGCTTGATGTGAACATTTGAACAAGGTATAAAGCTTCTTCAGAGAACTATAACTAGGAATTCTATCTGAAATCTCATTGAAGCAAAAAAACATCTCCTAGTCATGTAGGAAGTTACAAATTGATAGACTAAAAAATGTGAACATGTCATATCTTCCTATTGTTTTTAATGAATTGACGAACATCAAACAAAGTTACAAGAATTATTCCAAATTTCCACAGCCAATCCTTTCCTTTTAACAAAAATATTCACTTCAAAAAGTTCTTATGAACCCTTCTGCATAAGGTGGACCAAACCAGCCTTGAACGTCTGTGTTGTTCGTATGTTAAAACCCTGATACATGACAAGGGTCCTTCATTAATTGGTGTGTGGGGATTGTTGAAGAACTGGAAATGAAGCATTGGTTTTACCACAACCAAGTGATTCTATAACAACCGAATTAATTAGCTGAAGATGCATCAATTGTAGGAGAATTGCACCAAAATTCTCCAACGGTATCAGCTTCCAACTACGTTGTCCCGTTGAAAATGCTGTAAATATCACTGGAGATTGCCACAGTGCTCGAAGACACAGCAGTAAAAATCATCACCCACGATACCAGTCTATCTTTCTTTGTTGATATTGCATGAGTATCCCTGTATGAGGAAGTAAAAAAAAAATATATATCATCATGATGCATTAGAGAAAAGGTAATGTCATGTTCTGTAAATCTGAGATGGAAGGTTCTAAGATCAACATGCAGATACAACAATTCAATCTGCAGATTCTCCCTTTTTTAAGGCGTGATGCTATTTGATTGAGTTTTTTAGTATAAGAAAACAAATTATGATCCTGGTACTTTACATGGCCCAAAAAACTTCAACAACAGGGAATTCTTGCCAGTAAAAAAAAAGAGTAAAGTATGGCTGTGAATCTAAATTAAGAGGCTTTTAAAACCAAAATGTCCTTTTTATTTCCAGAATAGATGGAAATCCTTTAGAAAATAGTTTGAATCTTTTCTACAACATTCTAAATCAAAATGAAAGTTAAGTTTTAGCAATGGAAAATAATAAATATATTTGAGGATTATTTTTTTTTTTAATAGAAAGGTACAAAATCATCCAACAATGTGCCTTTTGTATACTATCTCAGGATCCAAATTGAACTAATCTTATTGTGCTAGCTACAAAATAAGGCCAGTAAGAAAGGAATTGTCGAAATACTGTTAGTCTGAACCTTAAACCAGCAAATTTTATTTTTTTGGACCATTATGGATCTGAAATACAACGAAGCATGTTCACATTTCTTGGAATGGACTATTGCTAAATGTGGCAACTTGCAAGTAAAGTAACTATAATCATTGTGACTCACCTAAGAGCAACAGCAGCTGGAAAAATGAATCCAACGGAGACAGTAGCTGTGGCACCAGTGAACTGGAAGGCATCCCATATGCTAGGCACAAAATTGGCTCCCAGAAAAATGAAACCCATGAGAGCCGCTGTTACTGAGAAGAATCTCCTGTTGTCAAAGGCAATCGGAATGGCATATGGAAAAAGTAGACCATCTAGGTTGAGGCGAAGGGAAAAGAATATGATTGGGAAAACAAGCATTAGGTGGATGCAATAACTCACTCTCACCACATCATTAAGCAAGGAACTATAAGGGATTCCAAGATCAGCGTCAAAATTGGCAAGTACATCATCCAGTGTGTGATTCCCAAAGAGGAGAAATCCAAAAAAGCTGGTAGCAAGATAGACAGATAAGCATAATGTGATTGATGTCCGGACAATTGACTTCATCTGGCTGGGGTCTTGTAGTTCATTCTCTATTGGGTGAACTGTAAAATCCATTAGAACAAGAAAGAATAGTAAATTATGTGGAACTGAGCAATTAAATATATCTAAATTATTTGAAGTCTTGCACAGAGATAACTATGGTATATTGTAACCATTACATTTCATGCAATGCTATAAGTAGGTGCCATCTTTGCAACAAATAAGAGCAAATCTATGAAGACCTCAATCAGCTAAATTAAGTATTTAAGTTGCAGTTAGCAGATGGCCATTTTATTATAGTGGGCTTCAATCAAATGCCACAATGAATAAAAAGTAGCCACATATATGATTACTCTTCAACAACAAATACCTGTGGAAAAGGTTTTTCTTCAGACTAGTTGCAAAACTTGAATTTCATCATAAAGAACAGGCATACCAATCATGAGCATGTCTCTACTTCAACCTTTGTTCACATTCATATTGTCAAACAAATGAGACTAGATAGGGGAAAAGAACATTTTAATGCATATAACAGGAATATTTGTTTAACAATAGCATCATCTAAAATATAAATCACTAGCACCTCCTTAGTGATTGGGTATTTTTAACCTTTTGTCTTCAAACTATAAAAGTAAACTGAAGAAATCCACTGCATGACCCCATGACCCCTATAACAGAAACTTTTCTTAAACTAGGCTTAAAGAATAAAGTTGGGACTTTCTGGTGAAGTTAACAGTCAACTTGTTCAGATTTTGATAAGTTGGCAAATCCTATTAAATAAAAATATCACTTTCCTGTTGCATTCTTTATTTTTAAGCTTACCAATAGCTTCATTTCGGAGTTACAAACAAAGCATCACAAAACCAGGTAGCCTGGAAGTCAAGTCAAGAAACATATGTAACCATTTTGGGACAAAATTGAGTATTTGGTTTATGAGGTCAAAAGAATACCAAACTTTGAAGGTTATAGAAGTTTCTGTGCTTTTCGGAACTAAAACATAACAGAGAGGATGAAGAGATTAGAACTCACTATTATGGTGGCAGATATAGGCAGTGACTAGTATAGGTACAGTTGTGAAAAGCTTCCAGAAAGATGCCTGATCAACAAGTTCAGGCAGCAAGCGTGGCATTTCAATGCTTCCATTTCTCAGTTTAACAATAGCTACTCCTGCTGTGATCACTACAAATACGACAGCCAAACCAACAGACAAGGCTGATGTGTACCTCAATGAATCTGAAACAATAAAAACAAAAAGAATCAGTGAAATTGTCATTTATTGCAACAAATGATATAATAACTGCAAATAAGTGACAAGATGTAACAATATATATCAAACCACTAAGAAGCACGGACACAGATACAAATGTGGATACGGGACACAGTGATTTTAAAAAAATGGGGACATGGACACGGCAATAAAATATTTTTTCATATATTTTTATTTGCTATCTAGATTAATATTACATTCACAAACAATCAGTATTAATAAAAATAACTCTAATTCTATATTTTAAAAAAAAAATTTAAATTAATACTTATAGTTTATATCTTTTTTTTATAGATAATCTATTAAGTATTTAAATCTATAAAAAAAAAAAATAGTAAACATTCACCATTCAACATTCCTTAAAAGTACTAAAGAAAATGGGGGAAAAAGACAACTTGGCATATCCCTAGTCTATCCCTAAAGTATCCTGGCGTGAGCCCTAAAAATAAATTAATTAAATAAGGTGCCACGCCATGTGGCGTGTCCCATACGTGTCCCCAAAGTAGCCACATGTCCCCGAAGTGTCCATGTGTCTGACATGGATACGTCATTTGTTTTGAAGTGTCGGTGCTTCATAGTCAACCCATAGTTACATAAGAGAAATTGTCATTTATTGCAACGAATGATATAATAACTACAAATAAGTGACAAGATGTGACAATATATAATAACTCTTGTAGTTGATTTGTGTTTATTGTCTTATGAAGTAAAAATTGATTACATATATATCAATACATTCGTCAAGATGTGACAAATGATGTTTATCACTAAAAGAAAAATTTATCATTGAATTTTAGTAGAGTAGTGAATGATTTTCAAAATTTCAGGATCATATTTTCTGATTCCCGATGCGTGATGCTTGATACTTTTGATACCATTACACTGCGACCGATACTAATACGTATCCCAATACCGCTATTTAGAACCCACCGACAAAAAAAAATCTAAACTAGAACTGTTGCCTACTGAAAGCATTGATGTCAAGAGCAATAAAAATAGCCTCTGAGGTTTTTTTCTCCAACATTCCAACTGTGCAAGCTTGTCCAGCAAACCAAAGGGCTTTCCATTAATGAAGTTTGGAAAGGACTGTTCACCAGTACCATGTTCATTGGTTCCACAGCTATCCAAAATATCCAATCGGATACTTTCACCATAAACACAATAAATACAACCAATAGCTTTGCAATAATGCTTCCAAATTCCCTTTTACTGATCTTCATTATTTTCATTCTAGTCAAATGATTGGAATAGTTGTCCTCTCCCCAACGCAACACTAAAAGCCATTGCATTGTGTTGTTAGGCCTGGTAGGGCTCTTAAGTCTTAATACTGATGATAACAATAAGATGCAAATAAAGAGATTTCTTGAATCTTCAAATATACAATAGGAATTCACTTTGTTGGTTAAGTGTAACTAGTCTCATGATGCTCATTGCACCTAATGACTTGGTGTACCAACTAAAGGTAATCAATAACCCCATCAGTGGATTGGCAGGTTCTTAGAGGAGGGCTGTATTGAGCTTAAGTAGGCACCCATTGGCTTTGAAAGCAACGTCAACGCCAAATGTCAATTTGTTTAATCACACATGCTACGCTGAATGTGAAGATAAACAAACTGAGCTTACGACAATGTTTACTTTCTGAATCATCACTTATTCAAGCCGGTTTAGTTCTTTTACTTGCACATAAACCAATCACAGAATTGGACACGACCCTCTCACATGGGTGTGGGCCAGACACAACCTTTTCACATGGGTGGTTCTGTGATCAGTTTGTGTCCTAGACTTTTTCAAGGTGGTTTTCTAGTAGAAAAACAATCTCACCTCTTCTCAATTCCACCTAAACTACCTAAGCCATGCTTACTAGAGACACAGATAACTGAATTTTGCCTTTTATCTTCACATTAAGTAAAATTAAAAAAGGTTATACATATATATAAACGGAGACACTATTCAAAGACTCACCAAGGTGTTTGAATGAAATAAGAGGAGCAAAAACAAGGATGGTTGTGAGAAGCAGTAGGACGGAACGTTTGTCCCACCATTGTTGCCCAAACCATTCCTCCATCACACCTGAATAGTGGATCCCATCTGACCATGTCCCTGACAGCACGTCACCTGTTCACAAACTCACATTGCTTGATCAGTATCAAATGGTCAAAAATGAGCAACAAATTAACCAACAAAACAGTGTCAAACGAAATGTAAACAAAGAAGAGCACTTGCATCCTTAACACGTAGGAGAAGGAACCTAGTTACCCAATTGAAGGGTGAACCGTAACCCAATTAAGAGCAACTATGGCTGCGTCCAGAGCAGGGTACAACATATTTCTCACAAGGGTGAATTACAGTTTCAATCTTCAATATGACATTTGTGTCATTTTGGTTCTCCAATGTTTAATTGTGTCAATTTAGTCCCCAACCTATAGAAAGTGTTTCAATTTGATCCACAATGTATAGAAAGTTATCCCCAAATCTGTTTTCATCATTGACGACATTAAAGTGAAGGGTGAATATATACCTTTGGTGATCAAGATAAAACCGATCACATATTTTAGGGACAGGATAATTGTTTACATTAACGGCACCACATATTTTTGGGACTAAAAATGTAATATTTTAAGTGAATTCCACTCTTAATCCTGACTTTAATGCCTATTGATAGAATTTACTTGGAGATAAAACTGAAACACTTTTATATATTGGGACTAAATTGACATAATTTAAATATTAACCACTAAAATGACACAAACTTCATACTTTGAGAACCAAAAAAAAAAAAAATGTAATTAAACTAGTATTTTATCTTAACCAAGCCAAAATTACTCTGGCACTAGTGTCTGCTCAATTCAAACATATAAAACCCTAAATGTATGATCAACAAAATAAACAAAAATTTCAAAAAACTGATTTCGTAAATTGGAAGTATGATCAACAATAGAAAGAGAGGACAATGGATTGTACCAATGATGATCATGTAGACTACGAGCGTGCCGAGATTGTTGATGACGATACAGGCCTGCAAGAGGTTTCGTCCTGCACCACCGAACGCATCGCCGACGAGTCCCGAGTAAGAGAACGCCTTGGAAGCT